CTATGCTAATGTGCAAAACATTAATCAATAAATCAGTAAGACTTCCTAATTTCAGTGTTTTGCAATCCAATACTGTGTAATTGAAAGGAAATTTTTTAATAGATTTGAAATAAAAAGGAAACTGTGAAGACAGATAAGGTGGAAAGCATTAGATGGTCTGCCATTGATATGGAATTTACCGCAAACTTCTCATAACCTTTGCTCTGCCTTCATTATACCACAATAAAAACTAGTCACCATTTACAAAATTAAAACATCCAAATAGGCAAATTAAGATATCCAAGTAACAACCTCAAAAGGTGATTCAATAGTTAAGAATTTGAAATTTTAAGTTAAAGATCTTAAATTCAAATATTAAATTGAGTGAATATGAATTTAAGAAAAAAAAAAATATCTCGTCTTATACAATTTATTATTATCAAAAAAAAAAAAAAAAAGATATCCAAGTGGCACTGCTCTCTCCTTCAACCTTGGATGACCAATTGCTTGAAACCTCCTCTCTCCCTGTGGTGTGACATTGAGTTTCATCAAGGTTGCTATTGTGATTATGATTATAATTATGAATTTTACGACGTAATCTGCACTGGAATTGCTCCATAACGAATCAGTTGAACATGATTTTCTCATAGAAAGAAAAAAGATAATCAATTTAATATCCTCGAGATCTTTTTCACCCATTTCGATGGTAATTCTTTACGTTTTATCAATATGTAATTAGTATTCAACAAAAGATAGACACACATTGATGAGAACTGAGAACCTAACTAGCTGTGTTGTTGCACCTCACGCTAAGAAATTGATAGACGCAATGATAAGAAACTCAGGTTGAGTGTGATGGTTAATCAAGCAATATGAGCATGGAAGATATATCATTTGTTGGGTGGCTTCAAGATTCAAACAGGGGCAAGAACTGACTGGACTTTGCAAATCGAACTGATCCATTTCTTCCTTTACAAATGATTTATACGAATGTTGCATATTTAGTGACCCAAAAATTCTATCATAATATATATCTAAAATTCATATTTCTCAATCACATACTACAGAGTAAAGGAGTCAATACCGTACCAGCATGTATATCGGTTTTGTTACTGGAATGGTACGTATCGGACACTGGAATTTTTCGCGTACCATTTTGGATTTATCGTTATAAAAAAATTTTGTGAAAAATTTTGTGAAGAAGTTGAAGAAAAAAAACAAGAAAAGGACTCAATTGAAAAAATTAAAAGCTGAGGATGAAATTTACTAAAATAAACTCATAAATCCAGCCCAATATTGAGCCACTAACAATTTAATTCAAGTTTCAACTCAATTTTATAAACCAGTCCATCAAAACCCAAATTTAACAAAGAAAACCCTAGTTTCCTCTCTTTTAAAGGGGAAGGAGGAGGTGACGGCCAGCAAACAAAACCAAAAAAAAAGAAAAAAAAAAGAGGAGAAAGCAGATAAAAAAAGATAGGCGCCCTTCTGTAGATCCACCATCGCCACCATCACCTTCATTTTTTCACCTCGGATCTTCATCATCCCCTTGCTGATCATCACTCTCGTCGCCATCACCCTCACCAATCAC